TCTTTACATTTTCCCACTAACATCAGTTAACTAATATTCAAATGGAGAAATAGTTTACCTGGAAACTATTTCATCGGGTTCTTTAGCAAAGGATACAGCTAGCACAAGATGCTGCAAGTCTTGGTTAACATTGACAGGGATGACTCTTGTCGGGTCAGCAGTCGGTTCAGCGCCAGCTGGCAGAGCAGATCGTGGGGCCGCCGGGCCCCCACCAACTCGGTAGATGCACAAATCGCTGAAGTTTGCAGTGTTGGAATGAGGGGAAAGATCTTTCGCGATGCCGTAAAAGTATTCCTTCAGTCAGTGTACAAAAACAAATGATTTCAAAAAAATTAGTGAAATTCAATCAGGACACCAAATGTAACTGTTAGAATTAGAAATATGTAAGTTGCATACACGTATTCTGTATGCTCTGGCCTTCTGACGAACTTTTGCATTTCTAGAGACAACACCACCAGACTTTTGAAGTTTCACCACGTCTACACTAGGTTTGTTTTTCAGAACATCTCTAAGCATGCTCCAAAGCTTTTCCTGAAGAAAGTTATAGCAAACCAAAAATAATGATAAAGAAAATAGGAAAGGTATCACTTTGAAGTGTATAAATAGATAAAAATAATCCTTGTGAAAATCAGAAGAGAAAAAAAAAAGAACATCAGGTTCAGGCAAACAGCCTAGCCATTCAAATTACTTGCATTCAGATAACAATCATTAAAAAAAGTAGTTCAACCAGCTAAGCTTTAGTCCAGAACTGTGTACCTGACCCAAAACCAGAACAACTGTGGCATTGAATGTATCAATCGCATGCAACAGCAACTGCCCAAGAAGAAAACAAAACAATAAACGAATAAGGTAATTTGACACAAAAACCTGTCTTTAGCTTACCAAACACGTCCATATAATTAGTAATAATTGGATATTCAATTCAGATCCCTCGTACATAACTAGCACCTTATACATTAAACACACATACCTCATAACCAACACCTTCTATCCATCCCATGGTATTAATCACCATGCCAGAAGCTCTCGATTCAATATTTCCAGCAAACTGCCTCTCCAAAACCTGAGCAAGCTCCTTGACTAACACCTTATAGAGATCTATATTGCCACTGAAAAGCGCCAAATTGAATTTCAATTGTCAAAAACAAAGATGATGTGCATTAGAAGACCAAAATAGAAGTGTTTCTTAAAAAAGACTCTATTTATTACCTTGGTGTCACATGGCCATGAAAATAAACTAAAGGCATGTCAAGAGGGATCCCTTCAACTGGATCAATCGGTAGCTCGATTGGTGTAGCAGCTATGCATCCAGGTATAGTTATAGATCCTTGGCCAATATCTAAATCCACAAAAGTAGGCTTCCAACCTTGTTTAGCGGCCCAACTAAGAAGCATCCTTGACAATGTACTCTTCCCCGAGTCTGTTGGCCCAACAACTATGACCCTTGGTCCCTTTACATGCAAACAGAATATCAATATATGTATCAACTTACGCACAATATGCAGGAATTAATTACCATTCCTAAATAATCATTTTATTGCATAACCACTATGAGCTATGGTCATGGTCTTAATCTGAATTGATCTGTGCCTTTTGAATGAGATACAGTGAGGAATTACTCAAATCATATATCGCTAACACCACATAGATACGGACATGAAATCCCAATCAGATAACACAACAAAATGACTTCTTTCTACCAATCACTCATTAACAGAAGCATTCAATTTTCATGCAACTCAGGAAATTCATTATACCATTCTTTCAAGACCAGAAATATCTAACAATAATGACCTCTCCGAATTTCAGGGTAAAAAGAACTTTTTTTTTTTTTTTTCACGGATGGTAAAGGGTTCATTGGGTGAAGTTTTGGCACCTGAGAAGCATCAGAATCACTGGGTGAAGCTTTGGCACGATTTCGTCGAGCATCCAGCACAGCATGGACATTGACGTAGCTGATCATGGGAGTCTAAACAAACACACAATGAAAGAATTTTAAAACTAATTAGCTGCTGGAGAAAGATTTGAACTAGGAAACCTAGAGGTGATCACATCATGTGCTAAGAATGATAACAATACCTCATCAGCCGTGTAGTCAGTTTCAGTTGTACCATCCATTTCAATTGTTGCCCCATACCATGTAAAAACCTGATTCACACAACAGAACTACCAATCAGAACTGTGACTTAACCACACACGAGCAGATATAAAAACAGAATTACATCTGTAATCCCCGGTCAACCTTATGCCCTCATTAGCCCTCAATTCGTGAATATGAATACAAATCAGCGAGCAATTTAAACGAAATTCAATTTATTGTGCATTTTCTCTCAAAAAGTAAACATCAATTTTCTTTTTTTTCCAAAAGATCTCAAATTTAATTGATTAACCAAAAAAAGGCGGGGCGGAGGAATGAGATTTCAGTTATAAACTAACAAATCCATACCGCAAATTTAAGCCTCGGGGGGAAAGTCAACCAAATCTCCGGTGGAATTTCCGTCCCAAAAATCTCGGCGGTGCCATTGAGCACGCGGAGGCGAAGCGGAGAATCGGGACCAACTTCAACTCTGAGCTCGCATTCTTTGTCCAATTTGACCTGCCTAACTGTCTTAGAGCCGCCTATTGGCGCCGTCGGAGCCACGGCCGGGCCGCCATAAGCCATGGCGAGCTGGGTCAACTCAATCAGGTGTATAAAACTCGGGCACAACAGAATTACCCTGAAATTTCCAAGTCGCGTGAGTAAGGCGGTAAAAAACTGCGCGTAGATCGTCTTCGTTCGGCGGAGGGCGGCGGAGGATTAGTTTCCGGTTGTTCGGGGACAGGGTTTCTACTCTTGCTTTTCCTTTTCCTTGAAAAAAAATGCCTTTTCTTTTACCTGTATTAAAAAGAAGTTGTATGATATTATTTCATTCTTTACGATGTGAATATACAGATGAATAGTATCTTTTTTTTTTTCCTTTGCCGAACATAGATAATGAATAAAATTGATATAATAGAAAATAGTAAAATATTAAAAAAACTTATATGAATTGATGAATAGTATATTATATCAAAGAAGGTATAGTAATTAATAATTATTGATTTTTATTATTATTGTATTGATAAAGCTGTATTTTGAAATTTTAAGGTGAGAGCAAAGTGATATCTGTCTGTACTCTACACAAGAGTTAAAACTTTCAATTTTCATTTATTTTTTGTTGGGCAAAAAACAAAATAAAAAAGGAAGCACATCTTTTAAAACAAAAGTAATATGTCCTCACCAGTCACCACCTAAGAAATAGAGAGCTTTGAAATTAGAACAAGAACTCATCAAAAGGGACCCTCAACAGCCAACTTAAAAGCTCCATCATAAGATAATATTCCAGTCTTATTCTGGGAAAATCCGAAGCGTGTGTTTGTGTGTAAATCAACAGTAAAAAGCCCATGGGGGCAGTATCGACTTTTCCCTTATTCTGGCCTTTAAAGAAGAAGAAAGGTTACACACACAAACAGCACCCACTGCAAATCTCTCAATCAAACAAACAAAAAGAGGGGTCATTAGAAATTGGGTTTGTGGTCACCTCAAGCACCTGATCCCTTCCAGAAAAACACGTGATCTTACATTAATCGGAAAATAGCTCGAGCTTCTAGAAAAGCTCACCTTTTCTTGGGCAAACAGAGTGTATCGTAAGTAGAATAATGCACGCGATTAAAAAAGACAACGTTACCAAAAAGATTGAATGTGACAGGTGGAATAGTAAAAAACACGCATCAAGAACAAATGTCGTGAGGCGTTCATTGCACAAATCTCATAAAAATAATTATCTTACACGTTCAAAATCCTCACGAAATTATTCCAGTGATGATTTATTACTCTGTAAGCAGTGTAATCATGCTAAACAGAAAGAGAAAAGAGCTGTGCTCAAATTCAAAATCACAAAGAATTACGAAGCCCCAGATGAAAAAAATTCTAATACACGTATCAAAAACCAGAAATAATAGCATCAGGCATCCAATCCATCTGGCAAAACGAGGAAAAAATACCGGTTTACCAGAAAAAGTTAAAAACGGAAGAGAACCGAATCATTTTTTTCTCTCTGTCGGGTAACTACCAAGTTGCTCCATATGCCAGCTTTCATGAGGGACAACATCATCGTGTAAAGGGGTGTATTGCTGAAAATATAAATAAAAAAAATGTTAAAAGAAAAGGTGTAGATAGAACTTAAAATTATCTCCATATAAATATCGCTTTTAACTTCCATTTGCACTCACTTTCTAAAAAGCAGGTGTAGATAGAGAAATTACCTCCATCTTTGTTAAAAGTTCGTTGGCAGTAGGAGCCGAAAGAACTATGTGCCGAGCACTCGGCTTTATGAAGCCTTCTTCAACACCTTTGTCAAATAATGTTAGCAATGGATCGTAATAGCCATCAACATTTAACAAACCAACCTAGCCAAAATAATAGTTCGTGTTA